CCCCCCCCCTGGCCCTGCCACACACACACACACACACACATACAGGCAGGCCAGATCTATGAAAGGCCACATGCTGGCTCGTCGCCTCCCTCAGGGAAGAATCCAGAGACGCCCCGCTCCCCCCCTGTCAGCCTCCCCCTCACCCTCTCTCGCTCCCTCTCTCTTCCCCTCCTCCCTTCATCCCAGAGTAACCTGATTGCCTGGCATGCCTCCCCCCGGTCAGCGCACCGGCCGCCCGGTCGCCGGCGGCTTCGGCAACAAGAAGCCCGGCCATAAGGCCCCCCGCAAGGAGCACACCCTCATCAAGAAGTCCGACGACAAGCCGGCCTTCCGCAAGGGCGGCCGCCATGGCAACCGCCAGCAGTCGGCGTTCGGTGACGACAACCAGTCTCGCGCCTCGCGCAAGATCAAGTTCGTACGTGCTGCCCCTCGGCCACCTTTGCACATGCAGGGCGGGGCTTTTTTGTGTCCCCCTCTCTGCTTCCCGTCCAACCCCTTTGGTCGACGGACACTCACACGTATGCACGCCCTCCCAAACATCGGCCAGTTCGTTCCAATGGACATCCCCTGGCACATGGCCCTGGCCGAGGCGGAGGCCGACTACCAGGCCCCCGTCTCCTCGGCATGCATGAGCCCCGAGCACTCCCTGGCCCGTGCGGAGAAGCTTCTCAATGACCAGACCCTCGCCTTCCAGGACAGTGCGTGCCGCCCGGACAAAATGCACCCCCCTCCTCCCGGTGATGGATCTCCCCCCGTGACTCATCCCCGATGGGTGGGCCCTTGCGCCGCGACTGCACACTAACAGTCACCTCTCAGACCGCCTCCTGGGTGTCTCGGATCAGAACTGGATTTCCACCGTTCTCCAGTCTGGTACCAGTGCCGATAAGGTACGCAAATGCTCGCGCGCCCACACATCCGCACCTGGCTGCCCAAGCTAACTGCCCGCTTGCCCTCATCCCGCAGATTTCGGCTCTGGTTGTCCTGGTGCAGGAGTCGCCGATCATGCAGCTGCGCTACCTGCGCCAACTGGTGGCGATGTCCCGAAAGATGACCACCCGCGAGGGTACGTCGCCCACCTGGTGTCTGGCTCTCTCTCTCTCTCCCTCCCTCCCTCCCTCCCTCCCTCTTTCCCCCCTCATCTACATGTACTCGAGTTGCCCCCTATCTGACCCTGTCTCTCCTCCCCTCCTCCTGCTCAGCCATGGCCGCCTGCGCCGCTCTGAAGGAACTCTTCATTGACACCCTGCTGCCGGAGCGCAAGCTCGTGTGCGTTGCCTTATGCTTTCCTTTGTTTTTTCTTTTGCCCCCTATCGGCCTATTCCTCTAACTTGCCTCTTGCCAAAAAAATAGCTTCTTCGAGCAGCGTCGCATCTTCCAATCCACCCCGGACCTGGTGGTTCTGCTGTGGCACTTTGAGGACCTGCTCAAGAAGGAGTACCTTTCCTTCCTGGCTGGCATCGAGCAGCTGTCGCACCACAACCAGGCAACCACCCGCTCGCGCATGGTCACCTTCAACTATGAGCTGCTCAATCTCAAGCCCGAGCAAGAGCAACTGCTGCTGAAGCTCCTCGCCAACAAGCTGGTACGCCACGGTCTGGTCATTGGTGGGCCCAAATCCCACGGCCCGGGGTCCGGACCTAACGTATGCTCCCCTCCCCCCTGCCCCCCTTCCCTCCCCGTCAGGGTGACTCCGACAACAAGATTGCCTCCAAGGCCTCGCGCCAGTTGAATCTTCTGCTCAACAACCACCCCAACATGAAGACCATCGTCAATCGCCACATTGAGGAGGTCCTCTTCCGGCCGAATGTCGGCGATCGTGCCCAGTACGTACCTCCTGTCCCCCTTCGCCGCCCTTTGATTTCCTTGTCCTCTCCTCCACCAAAGCCAGCACCACTCCCGTGCCCTATCCCCCCTCCCGCTCCCCTCCTGGGCCATTTTCTGACGATCTGCCCCCTTCGCTGTCTTCCCCATCTCCACCTCCCTCCGTAGGTACTACTGCATCATCACCATGAACCAGACCATCTTGACCGCTCGCGATAGCGATCTGGCCAACCACCTGATCAACATCTACTTCACTCTCTTCAAGCAGATGATGGATGCCCATGCGACGGCCGAGCGGGAGAAGTTTTCCAAGCGCCGTCGTGCCAAGCACTTCGGTCGCAAGCGCAAGGCCCCGCAGTCGCTGTCCGAGTCGGCTGAGGATGAGGAGCTCGATAGCAAGATGCTCTCGGCCCTGCTGTCGGGCATTAACCGCGCGTTGCCCTTCTCCAAGCTGGATGAGGATGTGTGCGTGACCGTCAGCCGGCTGCAAGGCAGCCGCCATTTTGCCATTGGTCGTCTCTCCCCCCCCCCCCCCCCTCACACTGACAACTCCCTCCCTGTTGATGCCCTCTTTCTCGCCGGCTATCAGCTTCCAGGGCCACATGAACACCCTGTTCCTGATCGTTCACAAGGGCAATTTCAACACGGCCGTCCAGTCTCTGGTGCTCATCTTCCAGGTGGCCTCCACTCGCCAGAACGTACGCTCCCCTCTCGGCCTCCAAATATTGTCCCCACTTTGTGGGCTCGCGCCATGACCGGCTCCTCATGAAGCACTGACGCATTCTCCCCCCTTCAATGACCACCACCACCACCACCACCACCACCCCCCCTCCGACACATGCCCATGTGCATATCCAAAGGACCTGCTGGACCGCTACTACCGCACCCTGTATGCGGTTCTGCTGGATCCGCGTCTGGCCACCTCTTCCAAGCTGGCCATGCTGATGAACCTGGTCCACCGGTCTCTGCTGGCCGATGCGTCGATCGATCGCACGGCCGCCTTCATCAAGCGCCTGTTGCAGGTGTCTCTGTCGGAGTTCTGGCTTCCGGGCTTCTGCTGTGCAGTGCTGTACCTGGTGTCGGACTTGATCAAGCGCAAGCCACAAATCTACCTCTTGGCCACCGCCATGCCGGCCGATCGTCAGGAGCAGCTCCAGAGTATCCAGGCCTCTGGTAGCAAGAGGGCCGCCAAGAAGGCCGAGGCGGCGGCGGCGGCCAAGAAGGACGCCGATGCCGATGCCGATAACACCGCCCAGGCCATGACCGAGACTGAGGCCGAGGCTGACAACAAGTCAGCTGAGGGCGAGGCCAAGGCCGAGACCACTGACGAGGCCACCGACGCCGAGAGCACCCATGCCGGTGCCTATGATCCGCGCAAGCGCAACCCCTCCTATGCTGGGGCCGAGCACTCGTGCCTGCATGATCTGGTCCCCCTGTCGCATCACTACCATCCGTCGGTGTCCAAGCTGGCGACGCAGCTCCTCCGTGGCCAGGCCCTGACCATGCCCACGGCGGCTGCCGATGCCAGTGCCCCGGATGCCGTGGTGCAGACCCTGTCAGTGGGTGATTCGGTGCATGAGCATTCGCTCATTCGGTTCCTCGATCGCTTTGTTTACCGGAACCCGAAGGCCATCAAGGATGAGGATGGCCTGCGTCTGCGTGGTAGTGACTCCATCATGCAGCCCAACCGCCAGCTGTACACGTCGAACCTGCTGCCTGAGGACTTCGCCCGTCTGGCCGAGGATGATATCCCAGAGGACCAGGTTCGTTCGGCTTTCCCTCCGCCCCTTGGCTTCTCCTTGGCCCACCTGCCGTGGGCGCCAGCTGGTGTCCTCCGGGGACACCTGCCTGGCACATGCCAGAAAGATCTCGCTGCTAACATATGCCCCCCCCCCCCCCCCTCCCCTACGCCGCATGCGGTCCCAACCACAGCTGTTCTTCTACCAATTCTTCAAGAAGAAGGCCGAGCAGGATGCCAAGCTCGGCGCAAAGAAGCCCAAGAAGCCGTCGGCCGACGACGATGACGACGATGACGATGGCGACCTTATGGGCGAGGATGTCGACGACTCGGTCTTCGAGGACATGCTCAAGAGCGGCCTGCTCGAGGATGATGATGATGATGATGATGATGATGATCATGATGATGATCATGAGGACGACGAAGACGATGATGATGATGATGATCATGACGGCGCCATGGATGGTGGCGATGATGACGAGGACGACGAAGAAGACTATGAGAGTCGGGGCCTCGACTTCGACATGGCCGAAGGCAGCTCGGATGATGGCAGTGGCGCGTCCGATGCTGAGGAGCTTGACGCGGCCACCATCGCCCGCATGGATGGCTTCGATTCGTCCGCCATCCCGGGCTTCGCATCCGGCAGCGATGACGACGATGACGATGACGACGACGACGATGACATCGATCTCGGGGGCCTGCTCAACCAGGACAGCGACGATGAGGACTCCGCCATGGCCGAGGAGCGTGAGGCTCCGGCGGCCGGCAAGAAGAGGCGCAAGGCTCCGAAGTCGGACGATGTCTTCGCGGATGCCGACTCCTATGCTGCCCTGCTGGATGACGATGCGCCGGCCGCCCCTGTGGCCACCGGTGGCAAGAAGCGTGGCGGTCCTCGCGGGGGGACTGGCGGTGGTGCCGCCAAGAAGCGCAAGATGCAGCGTTGAAACACCCAAAAGCCACCTGCCTCTGCATTTTGCCGCTTTTACGTTCAATGCATTTTGGTGCGCGTGCGTGCTTCCCCACGTCCCACCTCCCCGTAGCGGGAGGCTGAGGGAACCCCCCCCCCCCCCCCAGCACTACCAAGTGGAGCCATCCCCCTCCCCCCTACCGAAAATACACCTCATATAGATAGCCTGTGGGACAGAGAAAGTGGACGGGGGCCGGTGAATTAGGTCTCCCACTCCATGGGGGGGGGGTGCGCACATGCGCACCAAAACAACTGGGCGCCCGCAGGGGGAGCGCATGCCCGCTTCCGCATGGTCAAACGGGCCATCGGTATATGTGCCGCCCTTCGGCGCAAGGGAGGTGCCCGGTGGACACACGAGCCAAGGAAGCCACCCGGGCGCGGAGACCCACGTGTGGCCGCCCTCGCCCGCGCCGGCAAACGGGTAAGTGGGGCCGCCTGGCGGCAACCTTCGTGGCCATGAAGAGTGCCGGAGGGCGGACAGGAAAATAGGATAGCCCCCCCCCCCCCCCCTGGGCCCCCGCTGGTCGCCCCCGCCGCCCCTCCCACACACACACATACACACATACACCACCCCGGCGGCGCGAGCGAAGAAAAGTATGGAAAAGAAAAAAAACAACCAAATCGAGAGGCAGACAAGGACACTGATATTGGGAATCTGAGGGGAGGGAGGGAGTGGTGTGTGTGCGTGCGCGTGGAGGGGGGAGGGGAGGGAGAACAGGCTCAACATATGGTACATGCGTGCTCAAAAAGGAGGAGAGAGGAAGCCCCCGTCCTCCCCCTGTCTCACCCCCCCGGGGGGACACACAGAAACACACAAGGAGAAGGAAAGGAGAAAAAGGGCCAACCTGAGATGAGGGAAAGATATGTGTGTGTGTGTGTGTGTGTGCACACCCCACACGCCGCTGTCGCTACGCTGCTGCCAAGGTGGGAGGGACGGAAGGGGACGTATGTCTAAATGAGGGGAGGAGTCCAGGAGGCAGAGTACGCCCTTGCCCCTTTCCGGCCTTGCCTCGCCTGAGACCCGAGGCAAAGACAAGAAGAAGCGCAATGGGAATGGGGAGCAGAGGCTACTACCACGGCGCGGAGGTGCGCTGCACGGCATATGGTGTCATGGGAGGAGGGGGGGGACGGGGGGTATTAAGACACGAGGAGCGCTTAATCGTCGAAGGTGGTGCGAGAGCCGGAGCTGCCGCCGAAGCCACCACGACCGCCACCGCGACCGCCGCCGAAGCCACCGCCACGGCCACCGCCGAAGCCGCCGCCGCGACCGCCACCGCGACCGCCACCGAAGCCGCCACCGCGACCGCCGCCGAAGCCGCCACCACGGCCACCGCCGAAGCCGCCGCCACGACCACCGCCGAAGCCGCCACCGCGACCGCCGCCGAAGCCGCCACCGCGACCGCCGCCGAAGCCACCGCGGCCACCGCCGAAGCCACCACCCTCACCACGAGGGGGAGCGTAGTCCAGGCGGCAGGGGCGGTTGTCGATGTCGACACCGTTCAGCTTGGCCAGGGCCTTCTTGGCAGTCTCGACATCAGCGAAGTCGATGTAGCCCATACCCTTGCTGCGGCCGGTCTCGCGGTCGGAGATCACACGGGTGGAGGTGGGCTCGAACTCGGAGAAGGCCTCATAGAGGGAGTCCTGGGTGACGTTCCAGGAGAGGTTGCCAACCCACAGGGTGCTGGAGGGGGGGTTGGGGCTGCGCTCGCCACCGGCACCGCCGGCAGCAGGGCGCTCGGGCTTGGTGTCGATGCGAATGCGGATGTTCGAGCCGTTGAGCTCGGACTCGTTGTACTCGGCGGCAGCGGCGGCGCCAGCGGGCTCGGCGAAGGTGATGAAGGCAATGCCGCGGATGTTGCCGGAGTCACGGTGGATCGGCATATCGAGAGAGACGATCTCACCGCACTCGGACAGCAGCTCGCGGAGCTGCTCCTCGGTGGTGCCCTGGGCCAGGCCACCAACGAAGATCTTCACATCACCGGTGGGGGCGGTGGCGGCAGCCTTGTTGGGGGTGGTGGTGGTGGGCTCGTCGCGCTTGCGCTTGTTGTTCTCGACGGGCTTCTCCTCCTCCTCCTCGGAGTCGGAAGAGTCGGAGCCGGAGTCGGAGCCGGAGTCAGAGGCGGTGGACTCGGAGTCGGAAGAAGAGTCGGAAGAGGAGTCGGAGCCGGAGCCGGAGCCGGAGTCGGAGGCAGAGCCGGCATCAGAGTCCGAGGAGTCCGAGTCAGAGGAAGAGTCAGAGGAGGAGTCGGAGTCGGAGTCGGACTCAACGACGACCTTCTTGAGCTCCTTCTTGTCCTTCTTGGAGGCGGTGGCAACGGCGCCCTTGTCGGACTTCTTGGCGATCTGCAGGGAGGGAGGGAGAGGGGGGAAGGGGAGGGGGCCATACGTGTGTGTGGGGGGGGGCGCGCGGAGCACGGAGAGGCGTCAGCATCAAGGGACCATCAAAGTGGAGGCGAGCCTGGAGGAAGCAAAAAGGAGACGAGGAGGAGGGGGGGGGGGAGCGCACCTTGGTGGACATGGTTACAACTAAAAAAGTTGAAGTGGTTCAACAATTACTGACTGACGAAAAAGGCAGTCAAAGCTGAGCACACGCGCGCGCAAGAGGGAAAGAAGCGGCAGGCGGCGGCGGCGGGGGG